AGAGGAAAAGGAAAGTTTGAAAGAGCAGGGAATGCAAGGATGGCAGTTAGGACACAAAGTTAAAGACTTGTAGATAGTAATGTATGGTTAAAAGTGTTCTGAGTTAAAGTCTCCTCTATAATTACACAAAGACCATAAATCATTGGGAGTATAGATTAGCAGGTAGTCTATGATGTCAGGGTAGTATTGTCCTTTCCACTTCTAATACCTAACTTGATTTCACTGGTGTTACAACAGCATGCTCAGTGTTGAATCTGCACATAGCTAATGCCAGATAACTGTGGTATGATGGTACTTTTTAGTAATAGGCCAGTGTGTGGCCAGGTCACTGGGTATGAGAGAGGTTGGGATTTTACTGTAGGGCCTGTGTTAATGAAACCATTACTCCTAATGTGTTACTTAAAAACTTCTTATTATATTAGCAATGATTGACTTATCTGTGTGGGAGTAGCACAGATTAAGTCCTTAAACCTGGGCTCTTCAGATTCAGTTTATTAGGGAACAGTAGTCAAATCAGAAGTGTGATATTCCCCTCTTGTTCTCTTCTCCCTTTGCCTCAGCAGTGGGTGCTTTTTAAGGTTAGAGCTCGTAGATCTAGGATTTCTCATATGCTTGAATGGTAGATTGTATTGGAAGACACTTTTTAAAGGATTAGTCCTGGGAGCCAGCCCCTGTCACTATATTTTTCCCCAGGATAAGTGGGGAACTTAGAGACCCCAATCTCACAGGTCTGTATTGTTCCTCTACTCCATTTGTGGAGAGTAGGTTCCTTTATCTTCCGTTCTGACAAGACGCTTAATCCTAGTCTAGGCCACATGTAAAGACAAAGAACAGTGAATAGTTGGCTAATTCCTTGTCATTTATTACCAGGTTCTGTGTCCATATTTGTTCAATGTGGGACTGTAATTTTTGTGTTTTTCTCATAGACACATTCTCCTTGAGACAATGCATTATTGCTTAATGTTTTCCCAGCATTAGTATATAGTTATATTTCAAGTGGTTTAAAGTTCTGATGGATAAATTAGTAATATAAATCACAAGTAGTACAGTCAATGTTCAGAGCACATCTGGAGGGCAAGTACATTATAGTATAATTTTATCTCATTGTACCAGCAGTATTATTTATCATTGTAGAGAGACTTACCATTGAATTTTTCTGTTTTGTTTTTCTTTCTCTAAGAAGTGCAAGCTTTATTTATTTTTGTCCATTGTGGGGCTTGAACTCTGGGTTTGGGGGCTGTCCCTTAGCTCTTCACTCAAGGCTAGTGCTCTACCGCTTGAGCCACAGCACAACTTCTGGTGGTTTATTGGAGATAAGCGTCTTATGGACTTTCCTGCCTGGGCTGGTTTTGATCTTCAGATCTCATCCTCCTGACTAGCTAGGATTATAGGCACGAACCACTGGCACCTGGCTTGTAAATACTTCTAAAGTAACTAAAGCTTTAAAAATCTGTTCAGTATCTCAGTGATGTATCTATCCATTTCATCATCTGTTTATTCTCCCTTTTCCCATCCACCCAAGTAGTTAATGTTGTCCATGAGATATGCTAGTTTGTATGTTATAATCTCTTTTGTGGTACTTGCATGCCCAAGAGCTATGTGTCCTTTAGAGCTCCTGTGAACACAAAGATGTCTAATGTTCTTGCAAATATGTTATTATTACAATTGAGATTGATTTTTAACTTGGTCATATAAAAAAGTAGGGCTTGTTGCTGTTTATGTAATCACTGTTTGAAAATGAAAAACCTCTTGGTTGATAGAAGTAGACTTGTAGTAGGCATGGTTGGTTATGTGTCCTTTGAGTAGTTGGTAGGATGTAGTTCCCTTATGGCTTTAGGCTTAGACCAAGATCCTTGTGAATGTGTCTCTATTCTGCTATTTTTCTGCTACTCTTAAGTATTAAGTGAGAAGACAATGCTTGGATTGTAGAATCTTTCCAGGTCTATAGTGATGCTACTGAAATGCTCTTCTAGTAGGGGTGACTTGAAACAACAACAACAACAGCAACAACAACTCTCAGTGGATTTCTCAAGCTAATGTTGCATAGAGAACATTTTTCCATGTGTCAGTTTCTTCAGCTCTTTCCATAGAGCAGTTTCCAAATCTATGTGTGAGCTTTTTTGGGGAAAGGATTTCACCTCTAATCTTCAAAATCCATTTTGAGATATGAGTAAATCCACATAATTACTTTTGAGAACTCTTGTTCCAAAAACATTGCTATCAATGCTCACAATATCTTGGGGGAACTTTTGCATTTATCTTCAGTGACTGCAGACCAGTCATCTTTTGGGTAGGAAGTGACTAGTATTTATTTAGACACAAGATTAAAAGGAAAAAAAATGGATGATTCTCAAGCTGAAAAATAGTTAAAGTCTCTACTGAGGTAACTGGAGACAAGGAAAAGAGCCAACAGTGTATCAGGGGATGTGCATCTTAAACCTGTGTGACCTTGGATTCTTCGTGCCTGAAGGATTGGTGTGTGAAATTAAAGACGTTCAGTGTCTGGTTTATAGTTGGCTTTCACTTAATTTTAGTTCCTTCTTTTTTTTTGGGGGGGGGGTCAAGCCACTTCATTGAGGCTCGGAGGCTGGGAGGAGTTGAAAATGCAACACAGAGCACACACTGGTGTCCTCAACGGGGAGGGCCCTTCCCGGATCCGTAGTCTCGAAGGAAAAAAGCTTAATTCCTTCTTATGGTTATAAATGTCTGTCTGAAGACAATTTTGAAGACTTCCAATTCTTTTTTGAGTAATAATTACTGTTTCTAGGATAGCTTCCATGAGATGACTTCTTTAAAACACAGCATATAATTGTGCATATTTTATTAAAAAAGAAAGAAGAAAAAAAGTATGATTCTGAGCAAAACAACTTTGTAGAAAGGCTTTAAGTTCAAAGAATATGCTGGCATTTAGCCTTAGGTACAGCCAAACTAGCTAAAAAGAAAACCAGTGTTAGGTTTATATTGAGGTGTAATATGATCATGACAAACCACTTAGGAATCTCTGGGTCTCATTTTCCTGTCTGTTCAATTAGAAGAATAGACTTGATCTATTAGAATACAAACCTAGTTGGTTTGAATGACTGAATCCTAAAATAGTACTAATTGTTTGGGCATGGCTGGTGATTTCTAGTCAGAGGGGGTCTGCCGTAGTGATAGCATGGGTTCCATATTCATCTTTTCATCTTTATGTGGCTTAGTAACACATTCATATGAATACTTGTGCATATACTACAAATGAAAATTCCTTGTTGTAGATGGTATGATCAAGAATTATTGGTTATATATCCTGCTTCTGTTCCTTAATTCACTAATTTGTGTGAAAGTTATAGAGCATAAAGAATGCTTTAATGAAATAGAAAATGTGGTGATATGGTGGAAAAAAAGCTCCTTTGGCTTTTCTTTTAAATGTCATTCAAGGTATAAATTTTGTTCTTAGATTTGAAAACAGTGAGATTGAAGAATAATGGAAGTAATTCTCTTGTTAAGACTGCATTGGAACTAATCCTCAGTTTAAAAGAAATGTGTTTAGTGTTCTTGGCATATGTGAGAATTTGTATTAAATAGATAATCAAGACTTTATAAAAAGTAAATCATTAGTACTTTGTACTAACTGAAGTATTTGCTTAGTTCAGGATTATTGAAAGAAATAGTTTTTAAATTAACATATATACACATACATATATATGTATATGTGTATGTATACCAAAGTCAAATTGGACTTTGTGATTTTGGGAATAATCTTATGATAAAAAGAAAAGCACTCTTCAATTGTATTCCTATTATAAGAATCTTGTCAAGGCCAATACCAGAACAAAGATAAAATTTATATGTTTCAGTTTTTTTCTATTGAGATTGGAGAATTCTCTCTCTGTCTCTCTTTGTCTCTTTCTCTCTCTCTTTTGGTTGGTTATGGGGCTTGAACTCAGGGCCTGGATGCTCAAGGTTAGCGCTCTACCACTTTGGGCCATAGCTCCACTTCCAGGTTTTGAGTGGTTGATAGGAGATAAGAGTCTCACAGGAACTTTTTCTGCTCCATCTGGTTTTGAACTGCGATCATCAGATATCAGCCTCCCGAGTAGCTAGGATTACAGGCGTGAGTCACCAGTGCCCTGCTAGAGAACTCTTTATTTGGTTCTAGATACAGCTCTCATATAAATATATCATATAGATAGTATGCTTGTAGATATTTAGATGAATAAGTTCTTACTTAGTATTTAGGTGTTCATCAGTGAGAATTAAATCCAGTTGGGCAATGAGGATGTTTGTTGAATACTACTTACATTTTCATGGCAAGTTTGTCTAGCCATTGATGACAGAAGGAGAGGAACATGTTGGATTACTTTTTGAAAAAAATAAGGCACGAAAAGTCTGTGAGACTTTTATCTCCAATTAACCACCAGAAAAACTGGAAGTGGCGTTGTGGCTCAAGGGGTTAGAGTGTTAGCTTTGAACTGAAGAACTGAGGGACAGTGCCCAGGCCGAGTTCAAGCTCCACGACCGACAAAAAAACAAAACAAAACAAAAACAGTAACAAAGAGAAAAACCTGTTTCCATTTCCTTGAGTTCATTTTGATAAATATTATTTTATATGATCAGATGCATATTGTGCCTTTGCGTTCTTATTCTAAGATTATTCTCCTTTGGTCCCACTGTGTGGTTACATAGTAGGACAGATTTGTTTTTCAACTATAACATCACTTAATTACCAGAAATGTCTTAATATTATCAAATATGTGGTGTTTTTATATAGAAATTCAGTAGAGTATATTTTGCACATTGTATATTGTCTTTGTATCAAGAATCTTGATTAACTTTTCCTTATCACTATGATCTTTTTTTAATTACACAAAACAATGGGTTTTGTTGTGGTATTTTCATGTATGGATATACACAACTTGCCTTTTAGTACTAATAACTTATAGAGGCTTTTGGGGGTTTCTTTTAGGTCCAAGACTGAGACTTGAACACAATACCTGCCACTTTTGCTCATTGGCTAGTGCTCTACCTACTGAGCCATACCTCCAACCCATTAAAGTGTTGGTTATTCCTCCTCCTCTTTTCCTCCCTCTCTTCTTCCTTTATTTCCTCCCTCCTCCTCCTCCTCCTTCTTCCCTCTTCTTCCTTGTTTTTAACTTTTTTGCTTTTGGGGTTTCTATTTACACAATCATGTATTCTTAATTTTTATCTTTTAGAATTCTTGTTATTTCTTTTTCACAGAACTGATTTGGTTGCCTTGTATAGCACTGAATAGATGTGTAGACATAACAGTGGTTATGTTTATCTAGTTTCTGATTTGAGACAAAGCTCTGAGCTTTACACTATTATGTTTGATGTTCACTTTTGGCTTTGCTTACTATTAATATTTTTATTAATATTATTTTTGTTAGTTGTGGGGCTAGAACTCTGGGCTTGGGCGCTATCCCTCAGCTCAGCACAAAGCTAAGACTACTGCTTGAGCATTAACACCACTTCTGGTTTTCTAGTGGTTTATTGGAGATAAGAGTCTCACGGACTTTCTTGCCTGGGCTGGCTTTGAACCACCATCCTCAGATCTCAGCCTCCTGAATAGCTAGGATTAGAGGTGTGAGCCACCAGTGCCTGACTTGCTTATTATTTTTTGTACAGCATTCTTAATTAAGGAGTAATAAATTGAGTGTTAAATCAACTTTCGATTATCAGAATAAACCCAACTTTATTGAGTTTATTTTAGTTTGCTGAATTTTATTTGTATTCCTGGTATTTATGCTTATGCATGATGATACTCTGTAATTTTTAAAAACTAATGCCCTTGTTGAGTTTTAGCATCAGAACTATGCAGATCTCCTCAGGTGAATTGATGGGTATTGCTTTTCTTCTGTCCTTTGCTGTCATGTTTAGGGTTGATTTATGTTGTTGTGCTTTGTATTGTGGTGTGGTTCAGGTCTGTAATCCCAGCTACTTGAAGGCAAAGATTAGGAGTATCATAGTTTAGGGACATTTCTGGAAAGGCAAGATTTCCCTCTTAAACAAAAATGGGAGAAGGGGAGGAAGGCTGGTGGAGATGGGGTGGTAAGTCCCTGCCATTCTAGCTACAAGAGAAGTTTAAAAAAGATGTGGGCTAAGTTAGCCAGAGCAAATGCTTGAGGCCATATCTAAAAAATAATCAAAGCAGAAAAGGGCTGGGAATGTGGCACAAATGGAAAGCACCTGCCTTCCAGGCTTGAGGCGCCGAGTTCAATCTTCAGTGAAACACATACACACACTTAAATGTGATTCATCATAATTCCTTTTAAAAATTGCTTATAACATCACCTGGACTCGAAATTGTCCTCATTTCCAAACAGGCTTTAAATTATGGATTTTTTTTCCCTCATTGTAGGATTGATTTTCTGTTCTTGTAAATTTTGTAATTCTTTTACCCTAGATGTTTTCATTTGAATTTATTGGCATGATATTACTCATAATAGTGTCTGTGTAAACTTAAATGTCTTACAAATAGAGTATTTGATGTTTAATTTCCAACTTCATAAATGTTGATAAATGATTATTGCTATTGGTGTCTGTGACATTATATCCAAGTAATTAGAAGATGAGGATAAAAAATATTTCTGTTACTCCTGTAGGCTTTTTCTTGCCCTCTCCTACTCAAAGACCCCTATCTAGTGAAACCATTGTTTTGATTTTTGTCAACACAGATTGTTTTGCCTATTTTAAACATCATATGCCTGGAATCATAAGCATTTCTTTATGTTTGTTTTCATTTGCTCAGCATTTCTCTATATGATTCTTTGTTTTTTTTTGTAGTAAGTTTTTAATTTGATTTTGTAAATACAGAGCATTTATGTTTTGAGTCTCTTTCGAGTAGACTTTAAAGGTTGTCTTTGTTAGAAGTAACATGAATAATGCTGTGAATATTTTGTTTTATATATAAACATATATATGTATATTTATCAGCAGAACAGTCGGTCGCTCCATATCTTATGGATGTGCACAGAGGAAGGAATTGTTGTATAGTTAGCTTTTGCCATATTAGTCATACTAGCCTACTTTCTCAGTACCAGTGTTTTGATATTCCAGGATCTTACATCTTTGTCAACAGTTGTTTTCAGTCTTTTCTAAATTATATCAGGATGTCATTGTAGTGTTTTATTTTATTTTTGGTTCTAGAATTTGAACACAGGGCCTCATACATGCTAGGAAGATGTTGTAGTATCATTGAATTACACCAACATGTGATTTTTAATTTGAGTGGTATAATGTCTGTTGATATAGAGCCCTTTGCCATTTTGAGCACATAACAAATTGGTGTATTTTAATAGGTTTCATCCTATATTTTCCCATGTAGAATGTACTTTGGTCATATTCACATCCATTATTACCCTTTCTCTTTTCCCTCCCCCACACTGGTCCTACTCTTCTTCCCAAATAGTCCTCTTTCTACTTTCATGTCCATTTTATTTTATTTTTGTCAGTGTGGGGCTTAAACTCAGGACTTGGGCCTGTCCCTAAGCTCTTTCACTCAAGGCTATTGCTCTACCACTTGGAGCCACAGCGCCACTTCCGGTTTTTTGGTGGTTCATTGGAGATAAGAGTCTCATGGACTTTCCTGCCTGGGCTGGCTCTGAACCACAATCCTCAGTTCTTAGCCTCCTGAGTAGCTAAGATTACAGGAGTGAGCCACCAATGCCTGGCTCTCCTTTTATTTTTAAATCTAGGTCCCATAGATAAGTAACTGTGATACTTGTCTTTCTGAGTCTGGTTTATTTGCTTAATGATGATTGCCAGTTCCATCTATTTCCTGCAAGCAACATAATTTCATTCTCTGTAAGGTACCTAAGCTCTTATGAGTAAAGGTCTGGTTATTTCTTTCTTTTTTTTTTTGGTTGGTCTGGGCTTGGGCGCTGTTCCTGCGCTCTTCAGCTCAAGGTGAGCCCTCTACCGCTTGAGCCACAGCGCCACTTTCGGTTTTCTAGTGGTTTATTGGAGATAAGAGTCTCACGGACTTTTCTGCCCTTGCTGGCTTTGAACTGCGATCCTCATATCTCAGCCTCCTGAGTAGCTAGGATTACAGGTGTGAGCCACTAGCACCCGGCTGGGTATTCTATTGTACACAGGTTTAGGTTTCTTTGGTTAGATTCAGAAATAAGAAACAAAATATTAGAATAGTTGATTTCTTCTTTGTTTAATCATGAAATGTTCTAGCAAAATTTTAGACTCTAGTGGAAGTTTGCAAAGATTGAATAAAACTATTACTTTATGACCAATGTGCCAGTCTTCTAGATTACCACAGATTTTTTGTGAATTTTATTATTCAGGTGTCGATCATCCATTTTCTGAATTTTCTAAATTACTTTTTAGAGCACTCCTGTTATTAACCTTTCTTGTTAGCTCACTTATACTTACAGGCTTTAATCCCTTTAACTAGTAGAGTAATAAATTGAACAACTAACATTGTATTAAGTCAATAGTAGCTATGATTCTTGAGTGGAAAGAATAAAAGGAAGTTTTCTATTTGAAGATAATTTTAAAGTCAAGGGTAGATTTCAATATCAGTAGTAGAGTAATAATGTGAATCATTTAATCATAACTAGGTTGGAGTGATGAAAAGCTTCTTAAATTTGCAGTTCATCAAAAAATAGCTTACTTTAAAAATTGTTTCCCATAAATAAGTTGGACTGTGTGCTTGTACCTTGCTAGCTGCTATTACCAAGCACGAGAGTCCCTTTGTGAGATGTGAGAGTTTTGTTTTGTGGATATTCCCATGAGGCTATATGAGGAAATTCTGAAATAAAGGACCAGATTAACTTAAAAAAAATAAAAAAACCCAAAAAAACCCAAACTACTTGGCCTACTTGGAAGAAAATAAACAACTACAGGCTACAGTTTTTGCTTTTCTGGAATGCCAAATTTTAGCTCCGAGCAAATTCTTCAGCAGAGCAATAAACCTTTGAAAATTGCTTTATAATGGAAATGCTGACAGACCATTAACTATAGTGGTGCAAATGCACTGCTCTGACATACATAAGGTTGTCCCAAGTTGCTAAATACAGTATACTGTGTTGGGCAGTGTACATTCTGTGGAAGCTTATATGTGTGTATATACAGTTCATCATGTTATGCCACCTAATTATTAATGGGGAAGCTCAAACATACCACCTTTGACATGCAGGAGAAGTATCATTTTAGAAGGAAAGAGTAGTTTAAGCTCTGCTGATGCTGATAGCTCATTTTATATTTGCCACATTGGAAAAGGCCCAGGGTAAATTTAACATGATGCATTTAATCACCATTCCAATTACAGTGCCACTGAAGCAGATCAATGTTTTCTTACTACCAATTCATTGGAACTTCTAGGTCATAAAGTATCATTATTAGGCATATTGGAAAGTCTCAGCCCAATGGAAATGTGGATTTTGGGATTTTCCAATTGCTATGAAATAGTAATGGAGGCTGTCCGGATGTACATTTTCTCTATGTAAAATGAAAACTGAAACTTAAAGGGATTTATATGCCCTAGGGAAGGAAATAGCATAAGGTTCACACTTAAAAGTAAAATAAAGACAATGATGAAAAGGGATGGATACTTCTACAGTACCCCACTTAATGATGGATATCCTTGCTAATAATAAGTGTTGTGAGGGTGTATCTTATTCTTAGCTGTACTCATGGAATCTAGCACAATACCTGGCACATCATATTGTTAGTGTTGGAATTTACTGATTTGCTTTTGCTTATTTGCCAGAAAACTATTTGAGATTGATTGTGTGAGATTCATATTATTTGTGTGTTGTAGTCTGTGTAGCTGATTTTACTCTAGAGATTACTAAAGGCAATGTAAATATAGTATGCAGAATATACCATGAATTAATATAAAGACTCAAGTATGTTTTGACTGTAATCATGAAATATAAGTATACAGTAAATGGTCTGACACTAACTAGATTATAAATACTAT